TGTGTGTGTGTGTGTGTGTGTGTGTGTGTGTGTGTATTAGCTCAGCGATACACATTCTCCTCTCGTCACTGTGGTCCTCCATCCACATGGCAGAGAGGGGAACGCAAAAATGACTCAGCCTGCAACTGAAAATATGGATGGAGGACCTCAGTTTAGCTTGTTTGTGTGTCGCAGTAGCACCGAGCTAATATACTGTATATAAGGCAATATAACATTGGCGTTAACGCAAAGGCTAACAGGCTAAACTGAGGTTTTTCTTCCATGAAGCAGCTCTGTTGTCCTCCATCTATATTTTCAGTTACAGGCTGAGTCATTTCTACCTTCTCCTCTCTGTCAACGCTCTCTGGTTTCATTTAAAAGAGACAATTATCAGATATTGTCCAAGATTAACCTTCAGGGTGGATATAGCTCGCTCACATCGAGGACCTATCCACGTCAACATTTACCCAGGTATTATCATACAGGTATTTTAAACAACTGACTAACAGATGTATACATCCCATTTGTTATCAAAGCATAACCTAACACTTACAGTAAGTATTGAAATAATGAAAAAAAAAAACCTGACATCAGTCCTCAGCTGTTCTTTCTGGATTTAATATAAACCTGACCTCACACCCTGAAGCTCCATCTGACTCTCATGTCTTTTCTCTGAACCAGTTCTTCTCATGATAAAAAATATTTGTTTAAAATGTAATAACAAATATATATTTCACTAATTTAAAACCTTGCCTGAGCGTCTTCCATCTTTCATTGCTTCAAATGACTCACTACTCTATGTACTACCATGATTCTCTTGATAAGATATCATTGCACAGAATATCTAATATGATTTCATACATGTTGATAAACTATGATCACCTGAGTTGTGCCATGGCTCTAGGTGTTGCCATCATGTTGTGTAACTTTTACTCTGTTACTGTTTAAAAAAAAACAAGTCCTGTGGCTGCTGTTTCAGCCTTTTAGCAGGTGGTGACTTTGTAGTGAAAAGTGATAAAACCTTTTGGCTAGTGTGAACTTGTAGACAAAGTTAGCAGTTAAATATGGACGAGCGAGCGTCCCAGGATTAAGATGACTCAATCAATAATATTAAATTTTTATGTAGGAAAAAGAAAACATACAAGACGTTATAAGCAAGAAAAATTCAGAGCAATAGTGACAGACAGTTTTGCCTCATTCTAAAGAGTTTCTCTCTCTCTCTCTCTCTCTCTCTCTCTCTCTCTCTCTCTCTCTCTCTCTCTCTCTCTCTCTCTCTCTCTCTCTCTCTCTCTCTCTCTCATCCGTTCAGAGGGAGGAGGGAGAGCAGTGAAATCACGCTGTGTAGCGCCTTCAAAATAAAAGCACGCAAGTTAAAAATTTCTAAATCAAGTATTTTTCTTCTCCTGACAAATGCGCCTTTCTCCAATATTGGGGGTGGGGGGGCACTTCCCCCTCCCATATCCCCCTCTTCCTACGCCTATGCCTGTTGCTTCAATGTGCCATTGTTTTCCTTAGTCATCCTTCCAATCAGTTAATCATCCACACCTGTTCACCTGTTCATTATCCTCACCTGATCTCATCCCTCCCAGCAAAATACTCCTGAACCAGAAGTCATTGTTCAGTCATTCAGTTTGTTGTCAGCATTATGACAAATTCGCTTATTTACAAATTTTCTTTATTAACATTGTA